AATGTACCGGAATCGCAGGGTACTTCTCTCTGCCCGCTTCTGCGAGTTTCGGAATTCAGCGCGACAGCACGCGGCTCCACTCACACAGCCGCGTCATCCATTCACATGTCCTATCTGCCACCACACTACAGGGACTGAATGGATCAGAAGTGCAGCGATGTCGCCGCACTTGTAATACATTGATAACTTCCTCCATCTCTGTACTTTGGTACGGACTTGAGCTGGGGGAATAGTCTGCAGGAGCCAGAGCATTGCGCCCACACATCGCGGTTGCAACGCTTTGCAGGCTCCGGTGCAGAATCTTCTCTTTGCAGTGCGGCGGCATTTATTATTATATTTCTTTATATTGCAGAAAGCAGAATGCGCCTTTCACTGCATGGAAATGTCACTTCATTCAACTCTATTGCATGGCATCGCGTTGTGAGTGACGCTGTACGGCGCACTGACACACGTTTTTTGTGCATTGCGCTGGATAAGAAGGTTGACATGTTGTATTTGTACACAGCGCACAGCACAGCGCATGTATAATATAAACAGGACACATAAGAGAACAATTGTATTCTTCTTCCTTCCAGTCCGCAATGATCAATGCTGATAAACGCAGCTCAACCCCCCCGGGTGCCACACAACGCACTCCTTGCGCCATGGTCCTGCGATACAGCCAGCAGTCCTTCCCACCTCAGCAGAGTGTTCCTTCCCAGAACACTTCTTACTGCACAATATCTATACATTGTATATGAGAAGCCTGATCCAAGGCCAGCGCATGCTCCTCCCCCCTGTGTGTCTGTATGGAGGAGTGTCTCTAGATGTACACCAGTGGTGTAACAATCGCCATAGCGACCCAAGCGGCCGCTATGGGGCCCGGGGCACAGGGGGGCCCTGCCAGATGCCGGGGTCCTCTGCGGGTGGCTCTGAAGAAGAATGCGCTGCTGTTCAGATCACTGACCATAATCTGTGCATCACACGGGACACCCGCCATCACACGGGACACCCGCCGTCACACGGGACAACCGTCGTCACACGGGACAACCGTCGTCACACGGGACAACCGTCGTCACACGGGACAACCGTCGTCACACGGGACAACCGTCGTCACACGGGACAACCGTCGTCACACGGGACAACCGTCGTCACACGGGACAACCGTCGTCACACGGGACAACCGTCGTCACACGGGACAACCGTCGTCACACGGGACAACCGTCGTCACACGGGACAACCGTCGTCACACGGGACAACCGTCGTCACACGGGACAACCGTCGTCACACGGGACAACCGTCGTCACACGGGACAACCGTCGTCACACGGGACACCCGCCGTCACACGGGACAACCGTCGTCACATGGGACACCCGCCTTCACGCGGGACAACCCGCCTTCACGCGGGACACCCGCCATCAGAGTGTCATTTATTTTTACATAGCAAATAACCAGAAGCATTATTTCCCGGAGCAGTATATGGTATATGCAGCGTGAGAACACATATGTACTATGTATGTCTTTCGGTTGCTCGGTGTGGTTTCCAGTCTGGCGGCACTCTGTACACATGGCCGGGGTGGGCGCAGGGGGTTCAGTCCTCGGCCTGCGCTCCTCCTCCAGGCGGCCTCGAGATGCAGCTGAAAGGCCGTGTGATAGCCGCGCACAGACACTTCATTATCTGGCCCTGCGGGGAGGGGAATGGCCGCATATTTTCCAAGGAGGCCCCCACCGTTCCGTGTTTTCCCCTCTGGAAGAGACACTCTCCTCCGTGTCATCATAACGCTTCGCCCGCTCCGTGTTTTCTTTGGGTGTTTGTGAGCCGGGGTTGCGCCAAGGTGAAGCGTCGGGTCACCTGAAGTTCTTACATTACAGAGAAAATCCGCTGGAGACTGAAAGTTGAACTCCGGGATCAGCAAATATTGTCCTCATAGAAGAGTCACGTGTATCCATCCTGGAACCTTGGTGAGCTTTGTGTATTTCTTCCAAATCTGTGCAAAACTTGGAGCCTCCTGTAATAAAGACCGGTCACTGCTGCTCTCTCTCCTTGTGCAGGGTGACTGGTCTTGTCTCCGCCCCCTCCTGTAATAAAGACGGGTCACTGATCTCTCTCCAGGGTGACTGATCTTGTCTCCGCCCCCTCCTGTAATAAAGACCACTCACTGCTGCTCTCTCTCCTTGTGCAGAGTGACTGGTCTCGTCTCCGCCCCCTCCTGTAATTTTCTGTAGTGGGTGGGGCCTGCTTCTCTCTGCGCAGGCTCATGTGCAGCACAGTAATGATGTCACTACTACTTATACAACTTAATATCTGGGTCTGCAAAGGCGTTTGATGCACACAAAGTGGATTTATATCCATTGTGGCTATTGAGGATGAAAATATTTGTGCCCGGAGTTCTGTATGTGTATGGACTGCACTAGGTACTTGGTGAGCACTGTTCAGAGGACACAGCACCCTTGTGCAGTTTTTTGGGGGTCTTCTCTTTTGTGCACAATGGTCTTGTTAAGCTTTATTGCATTCCAGAGCTTCGAAAAGAAAAAAAATCAGCATGTGATACAAATGTAAACCTCTTGAGCTCTGATGCCCAACCTGTAGGATGGGGGGTGCATGCGGCCATTTGGCATAACTTCCTGTTATAGGGTGACAATGGTTCCCCAACCTTGTTTCTGTGTTGTCACCATGACCAACACAGTCGCCAATGGGGATTACAAGCAGCCATGTGTAAGAATGGCCTGCCGTTGTCACTATCAGGCGGCCAGTCCAGAGCAATGATGTACAGCCAACGGTGAAGCGAGCACATGTAGACAAGAAGTGCCTGAAAGAGGCTGCAGAAGATCAGCAGCAGCAAAAAGGAGAAAACATGAGTTGATTACCTGATAACTCTGTTTCCAGGAATCTTCCAGGACAGCCATCGAGATATAGGCTCCGCCTACCCGCAACAGGAAACACACCAACCACATTAAATAGACTCCTCCTTCCATCCCAAGTCAGTAACCTCTAGGTTTGAGTGGGTCCCGACGCATAGCAGGGTAGGCTCAGCCCTAAGGCAAACAAACATGAGCCCTGAAAACAACAAACATTACGATGTCCCCGTGTAGCCGGCGGAAACACAAAAAAACTGACTTGGGATGGAAGGAGGAGTCTATTTATTTAATGTGGTTGGTGTGTTTCCTGTTGCAGGTAGGCGGAGCCTATATCTCGATGGCTGTCCTGGAAGATGACTGGGGAAATTTAAATTTGTAGGATATAAAGACGCTAAATTAGGGTTTAGATTTCATTTACCTTTCATTCATATAATAGTAATCCGGATCAGCAGGTTTTTTTTACAGTGCTTCTAGATCAGGGGTAGCAAACCTCTGGCCCTCCAGCTGTGGTGGAACTACAAATCCCATGATGCATCTCTCTTCGGGAGTCATGTCTGTGGCTGTGAGAATCTTGCAATGCCTCATGGGATTTGTAGTTCCACCACAGCTGGAGGGCCGGAGGTTTACTACCTCTGTTCTAGATGTTACTTTCAGCTCTGGTCACATGACCCTACAGACAGTGACCCCAGGTAGGCTTTGTCCTCTTGGTGAATTGACTCATCTCAGCACCCATACCTCCATTGTCTGGAGTGCGCCATCAATATAGAATAGAGCCGAGCACACAGCTTATAGCTAGCAGCAGTTACCCACCGGAACTCAGTTGCTATGGAAACACAAGTTCCGACGCAGATGTAGCTGTCGTGCATTTAAATAATATTCCGGCTTTGCTATTTTAAAGTCAGTTTGTACCAATTATAATACTCGCTATTTATTCATCGCCATCATATGACACGGCGCGGTACATACTAAGCGACACTTAGTGCGTATTCAGTCAGTGCCAATCATATGCAGCTGAGCATTACACCCAGGCAGTGTACTGTGAGGTGGACGTGGGGCTCATTCACACCAGGCGCAATGATCGGCATCGATCAACGCAGGCTCAGCGCAAGGACAAAGAGAAGACAATTGTAACCTATGTGGCCCGTTTATGGCACACAAGTGCGTTGGCGTGCATTGCATTAAAAGTACCATGTCGGAATTTTAATGCAACGCACGGCAACACATTACAATGAACAGCAGTTCGTCACAACCTGATGTTGTGCGTAGCGTTTAGGCTCGGTTCACACCTGGGCGTTTTGTAGCGCGTTCCTACGCTCTGTAAAACGTTCAAACACCGAAAGCCCATTATTTCCTATGGGTATGATTCACACCTGGGCGTATTACAGGCCGTCTGAACGCGCTACAAAACGCCCTACGCCCAAAGAAGTACAGGAGCTTCTTTGGGGCGTATTTGCCACTCATATCCATTGGGATACAGCAAGGTAGTTCTCCGAAACGCGCGTTTGTCACGTGTTTTTTTTTACCGCGAATCGCGCTAAAAACACGCGGCACGAAACGCACAACAAACGCGCATATTCGATACCCCTAGGTGTGAGCCCAGCCTAAATGACGTGTTATTGTTACAGTAAACACTGGTGTGCAGAGAAGACTCTTCTGTGCTTCACAATGCTGCAGTATTTTTGGGTCCCTTTAAGTGCCCGTTCATGCCAGTGCGGCTGCACAACGCATGTCCACTGGTATGAAAAAAGCAGCATGAAGCACAGAAGAGTCTTCTTAGAACAAAAATGATCTACTTGTCTAATCCTAAATAAAGGATGGTGGGGGTTGTGCCCCATGTAGGATAGTGGGCGGAGCCAAGCATATCATTACTTGTTGCCCCTCAGCCTGACAACCCGAACATGCAGCTGCCCTCACACTCCACCTAGAAGGGGAGCATCCTCTTGGCTGGGCTTTCCATGAACGTGAATTCCC